AGAAGTTGAAGATAGTTTTATACCTCACTTTTTAGGAGGTTGTATTCAAAATTAAAATCTTTCTCAGAATCTTCCAGGACATTTAAAGACTCATGTTGATAGCATGGAGGAGAAGGAAAGAAGTCACAGCCTTCTACTCACTTGTAGGTCTTCTTGTCATCCAGCTGTCACACTGACAAAAAGAAAAGATGATACATGTTTTTTGCTCAGATAAGAAGCCTGACATTAAAATATGTCATATTTTTTTCTCCACATTTCAAAAAGTTGTCCTTCTCATCACTGCACAGATCTGTCTGAAAGCCTCAGTTTCTGGGCCACCCAGGAACAGATCAGAAATGGAGCATGGCCTTGTCCTTTAATGGGGATACAAATAAAGTTTGTGGGGTTAAAAGTTTTAAGATAGCAGTGATACCCCCACTCTCTCCATTGTTGTCCAGCGGGGTGACATAATGACAGGTTAAACATTTGTGATTCATTGATTAAATATCATTTAAAGAAATGTAAATTCACAATAAGGGTTGAAAATTATTTGGTTTCATCCATTGTCTCTTATTTCAGGACCAAGCAGCAAACTGCAGTAGTTTATGAAGGATTCTAAAATGGGGTTCAGGAATAGCCTCTCAGCGCTACTAATTCAGATATCCCAGAGAACTACTGGATTTCCTCATGATTGACAAACATGAGTGACCATCTCTTTGGGTGGCTACTGTTAGAAATGGCTGTTGTTGTCATGTTTTCTGGACTTTGCCAGCCAACAGATCCCTGCCAGGTTTTGGAAATACTTCTGTTACCTCGCTGCTACTTTTCTGCAGGGATAAAACTTTTGAGGTGGCCAGACCCAGAACATCCTTACAAGGATTCCTGTTACAGTGCTACAGTATACACTGCTCATTTATCCTATTCTCATGTGCTTTCTTCTTTAGTAAGATTATTTTATGTTAAGAAAATAAGTGATATTTAAAGTCCAAAGAGAAATGATCACAGTTGTGTAAGGGGTGTTTTCCCCCTTGAACTCTGATGTCAGTAGACTATGGGTCAGAGCTGCGACGATCTGTTTGGTTTGATGTTTTGGTGGGTTACTTAGGGGGCAGGGATAGAGTGGGACCTAATTCCCTGTGCAAAGGTCTCTTATTCCAGAAATATGCATTTTGCCATCTATAAGCAAGAAATATGGGCATAGCAGCTCTTGGTTTAAAGTTTGCCATAACCTGTTCTTCATGTTTGTTTTAAGCTCAGGTAAAGATAACCTCCTCTTTCTATGACTCCAGTTTCCATTCAGGTTATAGTATTATTATTCAATAGTTGATTTTCTTTTTAAGCTGGGCAATAAATTGATTTTTCCAGATGGTAGCATGGGAGAGGGCATACGGGATAAAGATGAGCCAATTCTACCCTAAAAAATGTTCTAGTGGTTCACAGGAACAAGATGAGGTTTGATAACTTTCAAGGTAATTCTAGATTGACATTTTGAGGGGAAAATGGGCTCTTGTTCTAGTTGAAGTGAGCAGAGAAGGCTATAAATTAACATGTAACTTACAACATTGCAGAGGTTAAAAATAACTGATGTAGATGTACTTCTTCAGTATGATTCTTCAGATCAGACTTTTACCTTTGGCATAGTTAATTTCAGAAAAATATGCTGTGTGTGTATGAGGGTTGGACTTGCTGATCCTTCAGTTAGCTCTAATTTCTGGCAACTCTTTGTAATTCCAATGTATTTGATACATAAACAATGATGTTGAATGCATTTGTGATCTGGGAGACTCCCTGGTCTTCCAGGGAAGGAGGGATGTGCAGCCCCTGAAGGCATGAAACTCCCAGTGTGTATGGAGCCAGTGGACTATGGGATAACCATACCGTATCTTACCAGGCGCTGGTTCCTTCTGCTCAAAATAACATCTGCCCAAAGAGGGTGTGCTAAGAACCCTTAGCTCGTCAATGGGACTCGGCTGGCTCCTGGAGGGGGTCTGTGACTTCAGGTATATCAACACCGATGCCGGGGGTAATTTTTATCCCATCTGTATGGATCTGAGTTCATGGTCACTGTGTTCACCCACTTGCCTGTGTTAAAAGTCACTGAGTAGAATAGCACCAGAGGAACATATTTAGCACCTAATATTAATATTTTGTAGTCCATTTGATAAATTTGCCAGCATATGTTCTAGCCTCTGGGGGAAAGCCAGGACCACTTTTGTCTGTGGCTTAAACAGTTCAGTTGCTGTATCTGTTGGGTGTGCCAGGGGGTGGATGAGTGTGGCATTCTGTGAAGAGGAAGGTGGTAAGTAAGGTTGCCCTTCTGCCTTCTTAAGTTGCAGGAGGGAGCTTTTCTGCTCCTCTCTGGTTGGGAGCACTGAGGACAGTGAGGAGGGCTTTTACCTTGTTAATCATTTCCTTATTTAGCTAGCCTTCCTTTTTGTCTAGAGCTTCCTCCTGAGACTCTCTTCCATCCATTGGGCCTTTGAAAGAACTAATGAGACACACACACACACACACACACACACACACACACACACACGCATACTCATGCACATTTTCCTTCATTTCCATATCCTTTATTTCAGGGCAGCCCATTTTCCTCTGGATTCATTGATAAATACAAATACCCACACCTTTGACCTGTATTGTTGGTTACCTGCAGGTTCTGTGTATGAGGCCTTCATGAATAGTTACTTTCTCCATACACTAGGGAAGTGTTTGTCAGAGTCTTCAGACTGGGTTCTAGAGAGGCAGAGTCATTTCTTCTGGAAGGTGGAGCTTTACCCAAAGTGAAAGTTAGCCTTGCTCAAAGATGTGTTTTGTGGTAGTTGGTAAAAAAGAAAAAGAAAGAAAGAAAGAAAGAAACACGTATTGGAGGTAATTTGACACTCCTGCTGGCTGTAGTTCTCTATTCAGCATTTTAAAGCCCATTCAGGTTCTGTCTTCCTGAAAAGAACTGATTGCTGTGTTTACATGAAATGACGATTGATTGGAGTCAGATGGTCTGTTTTAAAGATTTCCATGACAGCCTCTTTTCCTGAATTGGAGAGATTGGAGGTGGTCCATCTGTACGAAGTGGAATCAAACGATGGGTTTCTTAGTAGCTAAAGAAGCCATGTACTTACAGTGTTTTTCTCAGAATATCAATTCATGTTCTTCAGATGCTTTTCTTTTTTTAATGATGAGGGAAAAGGTGTAATTTGGGATTCCACAGTGCCTTGCATATAGTAGGCGCCCAATAAATACTTGTTGAAGCAAACCAAGTTTCCCAAGTCCTCATCTCTTACAGTGACCAAGACATCTTTCTCCTCTGAAGGGAATGGCAGTTGTGGCTAAAAAATAAGCAGTATCATTATTTGCTTGAAATCATATATACAGTTTGTATGAATTTCAGTATGTTGCCAAGACATGCTCTTTTTCTTATTGTATTTTCTGTAAATATTTCTGGCACTGAACTGTAAAGTAAAGGCAAAGTGTAAATATGAAGGTGTACCCGTGCCCCTTGCCTCCTGTGTTTCATCTTCGTCGGTTAGGGAAGAAGGTCCAGAGGTTTGTTTGTATTTATGCCGATCCGTTGTCCAGAAGCCCATGGAATATTGAATGTAATACATTTAGTCAATTAAATTTTAAGGAGATTCTTATCTAATTACTTTGTGTGTGCTTTTGGATACAGGCTGGGGGTTTACTCCTACACTGGTGCTGTGAATTTTACCCTTCCAGGGGATGTCTGCTTGGCTTTGGTTGCCCTTTATAATTTAGATCTGTAGTTTAATTGAACATTAAATGAGTATTTCATGAAATACTCAAAGTTTGATTAATTTTAAGAAAAATATTTGGCCTTCTCTGCTGGAAGGAGCTTGTATAATTAAAACACTGCCAATAGAGGCTCACCTTTCAGAGGCTGGGAATTGCTGAGGAGATAGATACTTACGTTATGGGAGTGAAAGTGCCGGCTGTGCCCTCTGCTTGCAGAAAATTTGAGCCCTACCAGGGCTAGACAGTCAGCAAAGTGGGGAGATGCAGAGATCATCCCCTGCTGCCCACTGCCCCCTTTGTGTAGAGCATCTTGGAGCCAGATGAGCGCCTTCAGGCCTAGATCACACATAGAGGAGTGAATGGACCACTTGAAACAACCATGAGAACCACTGTGGTCATGCCTGTGCCAAGAGCTGCTGACATGTGCCACCCTGTGAACTGTGCCTGGGAGCTGCCTACCTTGCAGTGTCTATTCTGCCTGTTCTGCCCACTCACAACAGGACCTCCAGCTGGGCCTAGTGGCCAGGGAAGCTGACCACAATATCCCTGTTTTGGTGTCTGGAAAGGTTTTGTAACCAGAAAAAAATGTGTGCTCAAGCCTTTCCCAGCTATGCTGCTCAGCTCTCTCTGACCCCAACCCCTTCAGGACCCAGTGCCAGGGAACCACTCCCAACCCAGACTGCCTGCTCCTCTTCCTCTTGGCCTCTGGGCCCTGCATCAGGTGCCCCCTGCCAGGGCACTGCTCCTCTTGGACACGCATTCTAGTCCATTTTCCCAGACTTCCTCTTGTAGGAATTTTGGCCATCCCACAGCTGGGCTAGGACTCTCGAAACCATGCCCCAGCTCTCCCAGCCCCTCCCATACTCTTATTTTTTCCTGTTGCTGGCCCCATGCTCCCTTCTCCTTGAATTGGTGTCTTTTCCTATAAGCGGGTTTTCTACTCCATGTTTCTCCCTAGGTTTACCGCCCACTTCCTGCAGCTGCTCCCCCAGCCTGGACCTGGGTTTGCCTTTTCTTTTTTTTTTTTTTTTTTTGAGACGGAGTCTTACTCTGTAGCCCGGACTGGAGTGCAGTGGCCGGATCTCAGCTCACTGCAAGCTCCGCCTCCCAGGTTTACGCCATTCTCCTGCCTCAGCCTCCCGAGTAGCTGGGACTACAGGCGCCCGCCACCCCGCCCGGCTAGTTTTTTTTTGTATTTTTAGTAGAGACGGGGTTTCACCGTGTTAGCCAGGATGGTCTCGATCTCCTGACCTCGTGATCCGCCCGTCTCGGCCTCCCAAAGTGCTGGGATTACAGGCTTGAGCCACCGCGCCCGGCCTGGGTTTGCCTTTTCAATAGATGCTTGTAAGTCATGAGATGCCGTGGTCTCAAAATCAAGCCTGTGTCGGAATCATTCTGGTTGCTTATCAGTGTGTTGAATCCCAAGCCACACCCCCACCCCCAAGAGGTCTGAGGAGACGAAGGTAAGCCTGGGAATTGGCATGTTTAATAAATACACTCCAGCACCCACCCATCTGCTGGCAGCTTTAGGCAGGTGGTCCAAGGGTCCTTTTGGAGAATACCATGCAGCAGCCACTCCAGTGGGAAGTCCGAAGCAGCCTTTCTGCCATGGTCTGGCACATGGAGGTTTACTGAATACTTCATGAGTGAACGGATGACAGATAAGAGAAGATGAGGATGGCATGTGGAAGTGTTCTGGCCACTCAGGAGATAAAGGAACAAGATTCAAGTCATTAGAAGCCCCTCACAGAAAACCCTAATAAGGAAAGGCACAGAAGCTTCCAGATTAAGTAATAATCATTTATAGTCATTTAATCTAGTAGTCATTAGAATAATCTATGTGTTAGATTTTAAAAGTTTTAAGTGGCAGCCCAGTGACCAATCCAGCCTGGCAGACGTTTGGTTTAGCCAACAGTGCTTTAACGAGGTCTAATCCAACATTTTAAACTTGGGAGATACCACATAGAAATCTAGACTTTTTGCCTGGCTTGGGAAAGTTAGGAGTCCTGCAATAATGGACCTGCATTTCATTCATAGCAGTTATTGGTGGGAGCTGCCATCACTGCATGCTTAGGATGCAGTAAGCTCCACCCAGTTTGCCGCAGTCCCCAGCACTCCCACAGTGTGGATGTGGGCACACACAGCTGGTATTACAGGACTTGGGGACCCAGCTGGCTCCTGGAGGGGCTCTGTGACTTCAGGTGTATGAACACCGATCCCGAGGGTAATTTTTGTCCCATCTGTTTTTCTAATTTAACAAAATTATCTCCATCTTACAAGAAAGAGGGTCAGAGGGGTGTCATGAACCCAATAGCTACTGGGCTGAGATTCAAACCCAGGCCTGCCTGGAAACCTGGGCTTTTTAATTCTCAGCCAGACTCTGTCTCACTGCCTCGCTTCCCACCCTTTCATCCAGAACACCTCTCCCTCAGAGTGTCCCCTGCATACTTTGCCTGAAGGACACTGTAACTTCCTTGTTACATCACAGCCCAGTCACAATTGGGCTGAGAGCAGAGCATGGCCCAGCCTGCCAGGTCCCCTGGGGCAGCCTTGCCAGCCCAGCCCAGGTTGGCCCAGCTTAGCCACACATGCACCATGAAGTACCCTTTGATGCCGCTGGTGAACGACCTCACATTTTCTTTCCCGGTTTTCTGGTTCTGCCTCCCTGTGGGTTTGCTGTTCTTATTGATCATCTGGCTACGCTTCTTACTTAGCCAAGGTGAGCTTCTTACCCTGCCCAGGCAGGACCTTAATCCTGGAGCTGGACAGGTGGCCAAATAGGCCAGTGTGTCCTGAAACAACTGCAAAAGGGGTTTCATTCAGTCATTTTAAGTGCTGGCTTAGATACAAGCAGTCAACTCTTCAGTGGAAAGGTGGTTTGGTTGTTTAGGGTTTCTTAACCTAGAGTTCGAGAGTGAGTCCTAGAGTTTGAACCTAGAGTTTGAGAGTGATCTTTTGAACAAATTAGAAAGAGGTTATCCCTCCAGGAGATGAACTTCTAGGTGCCCCTTTCAGCTGGGGCACAAGGCTCTGTGAGCAGAGCATGGGCTGGATTTCAGCTCACTGCTCACCCTCTCAGTTGGGTGGTTTTGTGCAGTAAACAGCTTGCACAACGGGATACAGCAGCCTTAGGCATTTTTCAGGTACCTGCAGACCACTCACTGTTTTCTGCCTAGGTCATGTATCAGAAAGGATCTGGCTTCTTTGGGAGACAGGCTCATGGAAGCCAACTGACATTCACCCTGACCTCAGCATGGGAGCAAGAGGAGCAAGAGGTGGGACCAGGCTGGCTGTGGAGGAAGCTAGGGGTGGCTGGGCCAGGATATGGCCTGGCTGTGTGGCAGGAGGGGGACTTATGCTTCTCTGGCATGTGTCTCCCTGAGCATCCCCTTCAGCAAGAGGTCTCTTCCTGCTGGGCACAGTGGCTCACGCCTGTAATCCCAGCACTTTGGGAAGCCAAGGTGACCAGGTTGCTTGAGCCCGGGAGTTTGAGACCAGGCTGGGCAACGTCTCTACAAGGAATACAAAAATTAGACAGGTGTGGTGGCATGCATCTGTGGTCCCAGCTGCTCAGGAGGCTGAGGTGGGAGAATTGCTTGAGCCTGGGAGGTCGAGGCAGCAGTGAGCCGAAATCGTACCACTGTACTCCAGCAGACAGAGTGAGATCCTGTGTCCCAAAAAAAAGGCATCTTTGTGGGGACCACTTGATCTTCCACCTCCTGCTGCTGAGCGCCATGACCTTTGGCCAGCTAGGCAGGGAGGGCGCAGCACATGTTGCCAGCAATGGTCAGATGTCGTTGAGGCAGGGTGAGAAGTCCCTCCCCACACCCCCACTAGCTCCATGATCTCAAATGTAGGGACTTGTAATTGTGTAATTATTGGGAGTTCCTAGCAAGAACCTGGGATGCCCTCTTGTCTCTAGAAAATGTTTATTTAAAGTATATTCTCCTCATAGTCCCAGGGTAGACCACAGCTCTCCCTGAGGGGTACAGTTCAGGCATTGGTCCCCACAGCTGGTGGGGAGTCAGACTTGTTTGCTACTGGTGATAAAAGCTGTCTCTCTGGACTCTGGAAGACACAGGTTCAGATTTCATCCTTTTTTTTTTTTTTTTTTTTGAGACAGTCTCACTCTTGTCACCCAGGCTGGAGTGCAGTGGCATGATCTCGGCTCACTGCAACCTCCGCCTACTGGCTTCAAGTGATTCTCCTGCCTCAGCCTCCTGGGTAGCTGGGATTACAGGTGTGTGCCATCACACCTGACTAATATTTGTATTTGTAGTAGAGATGGGATTTCACCATGTTGGCCAGGCTGGTCTCGAACTCCTGACCTCAGGTGATCTGCCCACCTCGGCCTCCCAAAGTGCTGGGATTACAGGTGTGAGCCACCACACCTGGCCTCATCCTTGCTTCTTTTATTACTATTTTTTTTTCGAGATGGAGTCTTGCTCTGTCGCCCAGGCTGGAGTGCAGTGGCTCACTCAGCTCACTGCAAGCTCCGCCTCCCAGATTCATGCCATTCTCCTGTCTCATCCTCCTGAGCAGCTGGGACCACGAGTAGCTGGGACTACAGGTGCCTGCCACCACGCCCGGCCAATTTTTTGCACTTTTAGTAGAGACGGGGTTTCACCATGTTAGCCAGGATGGTCTGGATCTCCTGACCTCATGATCCACCCGCCTTGGCCTCCCAAAGTCATCCTTGCTTAATAGTTCCTAATAATAGTGAACCTATTTGCAACACTGACTATGTACCAGGCCTTGTGCTCAACACTGGACATGCATAATCTTATTTAATCCTCAGAATAACCCTGCATAATAATACTTATATCACAATTGGGGAAATGGAGGCTTGTAGAGGAGAAGCAAACTGTCCAAGGTCATACATCTGTGAACTTAAGAGAGCCAATTGTCTGCCTTCAAATTGTGACTCCGCCACCTACCAGCTGTATGATGGTGGGCACCTCTCTGAGCCTTGCTTTTCTCATCTACAAAATGAAGACAACACTAGTACCTGCCCCCTGGGGTTGTGACAGGCTCCAGTGGTCGATACCTATCAGGTGCTTACAGGGCAGAGCACACAGTACACATACACACCTGGCACATGGTATGTTCCTGTAGGCTGAGAAAATAATCCAACCAATGCTGGTTTTGTCAATGTGGGAGGAAATGTAGGTAGTGTGGCTTTGGATGCCTTCTTTGGAGTGGAGACATTTCTCCTACCACCCAGGCCAAGGCCTGCGGCATGAATCTCCTCCAACATTCACTCTGCTTGGAGACCCAACTTCAAAACCATCCACAACCTACCCCACCCCAACCCCTCCGCAGACTTTCTCCTGAGAGGCTGTTTACTCCCTGGTGTCATGTGGCGTTTTGAAATAAGTCCTTTGTTAATTCTGCAATGAAGAGAAACCATCCTTAAAGTGAGGTGGGCATTCCTCCCTCAGGTTCCCCATCTTCTAAAATTTCCGATATTATTGTGTGTGTTTTGCGCTTGTGCTGGGAACTGACCCAATGTCAGGATTTGGAGGGCTAAGAGGGGTCAGGCCACCCAGACCTATGGTTTTCTATTCTGCTGTGGATTCCTTTATTGGAATCAGTTTGCCTAAAATCCAGTTTGAAAAGCAGACAGGAGTAGCTCTGCCACCTCCTCCCCATCCCCACCCCCCCAACACTCCTGCTGGCTCCTCAGGGCAGTTTCAGGCCTCAGAAGACAGAGGGTTAAGTGTGGAGTACCCGATAGGATGCACTTTCCCAAGTCGAAGGAGGAGCAAGTGGGGAGGAAAGGGGAGCTGCCTGATGAAACTGGCACTGAGGCAAAAATGATAATGGGCAGCTCAACTCCTGCAGAAGCTGGTCAGTGGGGGACAGTGCTACTGTCTGACCATGACATGGCCATAAGGTGGAGGAAGCCACACACACCCTTCAAGGGGAAGATGCCCTGCTGCCAGTATTTTACTTTTGTGATTTGAAAGGAGTTTGCAGAAGGATGAAGGGAAACCTCCAAAGAGATGGGTTTGGGGCTGAAACAGAAGAGTGGCGCAACAGCCCCTCATGGTGGCCCTTGGAGCAAAGTGTTCAGTTCAAAGCTGCCTTTAAATCCCCTGAGTCCAAACGCACCCAGTGGGAACTGTGGAGTGGGGAGGCTGAATTCGCATCCGGTAGCACCATTCCCTGGCTGTGAGCCTGGACAAGTGATTTCACCATCCTCATCTGTAAAGTACAAGAAATACTAGTAATTGACTTCAGGAAGTTGTTAAGAGGATTAGATGAGAAAAGGAATGTAACAACAGTTCACACATACTCTGTGTTCAAAAAATACTCTCTCTAGTGAAGAACAGTCACTTCACACCATCCTATTTTTTTTTTTTTTTTGAGATGGAGCCTCACTCTGTCACCCAGGCTGGAATGCAGTGGCGCGATCTCAGCTCACTGCAACCTCCACTTCCTGGTTTCAAGCAATTCTCCTGCCTCAGCCTCCCGAGTAGCTGAGACTACAGGTCCACACTATGCCCGGCTAATTTTTGTACTTTTAGTAGAGGCGGGGTTTCGCCATGTTGGCCAGGATGGTCTCGATCTCTTGACCTCATGGTTCACCCGCCTTGGCCTTCAAAAGTGCTGGGATTACAGGCATGAGCCACCGTGCCCAGCCCCTACTGACTTGTAAGACATACTAACTGCCAACACCGTTGAAGGCCTGTGCCAAGTCCTGTGCTGAGTTTTACATGTCTGTCTTCAGTTAACCCTCATCCTAGAAGATGCTGATATTATGCCCATTGTGCAAACAACCTTTGTTACTTCCCTGCAACAAGTGAAACATTGCCAAGAGTTTAGTAAGAAAAATAATCTTCCCCATCCCCTCCTTTTTCTCACCTTACCTCCCCAAGATGAGTCTGTCAGCAAACTCGTGCACATGCTTACCAACGTGTGCAGGTTTTCAAAAAGAATTGGGGAAGGGGGCAGCATTTGCCTTTCAAAACAAAAAGATCCTACATTTCTCTTCCATTTGCTTATAATATACCATAGATATCCTGCAAATCAGAAGATACACATATGATGCAAACATTTTAACAGCTTCATGACAAGCCGTCAGACGGAAGGTCTGGGTCTCCATGTGGTGTGACTGTGCCACAGCTTAGTCACCCAGACCTCTTGTGCTCTGTGGACATGGACACAGTTTCCAGGTGTTTTATTGTTCATGTGTGTGTTTCACCACGAAACAGTGCTACAGTGGAGATCCTTGTGGCTGTGTACTCAGATACTTGTTAATGAATGAACTAGTGGACAAATGCCTGGATGGGTCAATAACTGTGTCTCTTCACTGCCTCCTCCTGGACCATGCCCAGTATGGCATGTCATTTGCTCACCTGTGTGTCCTCCCCTCTAGTAGATGGATATGGCCATTTTCTGAGTTACAGGAACAGCCTTCTTTCTTGGTCCCTGGTCACCCTTTAAGGCCCTGAAGACTTCCTGAGGCTTCAAGGCTGGCTCATAGGATTCTGCCTTGGCCTTACCCTCAGACAAGGCTGCAGGGACACCCAGGCCTGCCAGGGGACTCCTTCCTGGGTCAGGGGTGGGAGACAGCATGTGATCAGCCAAGAGGCCTTGCCTCATGTCTCCACAGATTCAGAGGAAAATGACTCCGATGTATGCTTGGATTGGGAGCCCTGGAGCAAAGGCCCGGCCGAGTTTTGCTGGAAGGGGACGCTCCATGGCCAAGAGAAGGAGAGGCCCTGCTGGTGAGCCTGCTGTGCCAGGTGAGGCCCTTCCATGGGCCAGGGGGAGCCTCAAGGTCCACCCAAAGGCTTGGGCAGCTGCTATGTGGGCAAGAGGCTGCCTCTACCATATTAAAGGTCTATGCTCCCTGGCCATGCTGGACAACGGGCTCTCTCCAGCATGTGAGAGCCTTCTGCCTCATTGTGGGGCAGACCTGGTGTTGCCCTGTTGGAGGACCAGCCCCCTGTGCCACAAGGAGCCTTTACAAAGGTCCCCTACCCTTTACCCTAAGGCCTCACCCCCCAGCACTCTGCTGACGGTCTTTGGCCAGCCGTTCCCTCAGACATCTGCGTGTGGCACTCCCTCACCTCCAAGGGCTTGCTCTAATGTCACTTTTTAAGCAGAGCTCCCCTGGCCACCCTATTCGATATTGAAGCCCCCGTCCCATTCCTCCGCATCATGCTTCTTACCCTGCTCTGCTTTCCTTTTGCCGTAGTACTTACCGCCTTCTAATACATTTGATCATGGCTACATCCAAAGCCCCAAGACACTGCCAGACACACGCTGGAGGCTCAGTACATATTTGTGGAAGGATGACATGATGTGATTATTATTGTTACAATGGCTGGTATCCTTGGGGGGCTCAACAGATACCAAGGCCTGTCTTAAGCGTTCCCCTTCCACAAGCTTACTTATGAAATCCTATGATGGAGATATGATTCTCACCTGCATTTACAAATGAGAACATTTACAAATGAGGCACACACACACATACTCTCATGTGAGGTGTCAGGGCAATCAGATATTGTACCCAAGAGCCTTTGCACCCATTGAATTCCTAGGAGACCTCAGCCATTCCAGTAGGGTTAGATGCCATCTCTAGACCAATGGCCCCCAAATGTGTGTGTCTCATCTCATCTCCTCCCAAGCTTTATTATCTCTGCTTGACACCCTCTCATACCTAGAATAGGAATCTTAATTCTCACTGCCACCCAGCCAAGCAAAACAGCACCCTGATCTTCTGCTAGCTTTTCTTCATCTCCGTGAATAGCACCACTGTGGACTAATTCTGTTGCTCGAGTCACAAACCCGGGAGCCAGCCTTCTCGCCTCTCTCTCCCAACTCTAATCTCCATCTCTCATATGTCCACCTTTCTCTGTCCCCTTGGCCACCATAGCCTGCCCTACTCTGAAGCTGGTTCATGCAGCGTGTTCACTAGCCCCCCACCCTGCCCGAGTGGAGGGAGGAGGTGGTGAAAAGAAGGGCCCCTCACCTACCTCAGTTGTAGTGATTTTTAGCCTTCTGGGTCCTACCTTGACCACTGAGGGCCCTTTTCCCAGGAAAACTCACTCCTATATATGCCCTCAGAGATTTGTGGATGTGGCCAGATCCACAGATGTGTAACCTGCAGCGCCACAAGGTCCCAGGCTCAGAAGGGTCCCAGGCTTGGTTTCATGCTTGGCTGTTGCTGTGTTGAAATGCTTAATTTTTGAACAAGGGCCCCCCCACCGTGTTAATTTGCTATTGAACCCTGCGAATTATGCAGCCTGACCTGTTTTTATATCATTTGTGGCATGAGAAAAGATTTTCAGACCCTGCACAAGAACCCTATCCCATCTATCCAGAGCCCTTCCCTCCCCCATCACTTACCCGCCTCTTTCTTTTTTCCTTTTTTTTTTTTTTTTTTGAGACAGAGTCTTTCTCTGTTGCCCAGGCTGGAATGCAGTAGCACAATCTTGGCTCACTGCAACTTCTTCCTCCCCGGTTCAAGCAATTCTCCTGTCTCATCCTCCCGAGTAGCTGGGACTACAGGCACACGCCATCACGCCTGGCTAATTTTCGTATTTTTAATAGAAACAGGGTTTCACCATATTGGTCAGGCTGGTCTCGAACTCCTGACCTTAGGTGATCCACCTGCCTCAGCCTCCCAAAGTGCTGGGATTACAGGCGTGAGCCACTGCGTCTGGCCTTACCCGTCTCTTTCTTACTCTTTTATCCCAATGGCATCCCTAGTCCCAACCTCCTTTTGTTTCTAGTTTGGTTTTCCTGGAGTCAGCAGGGCAGTGGTCATGGCGGAAGTGGATGGGAGAGGCTTGCCAGGGAGGCACGAGGACTTTGGCAACTGTGGTGCCTCCCTGGAACCCCCAACTCATCTCCTCTTCAGACTGACATGCGAAAGCCTCCAGAGGACCCAGCCCTTCTCCAGCATCGCAGATGACCTCCAGCCCTCCAGGGAGCCGCCCGAGTCTGGGAGGGCATGGGAGCAGTGAACCGGCCCACTGGGAGAAATTGGCCAATTTAATTCAGAGGGGTCTTAAAGCAGGGCTGGGCTGGAGGGTGTGGGTCCATATTAAAGAAGTGAGGGGCTTCCCATGCCCAGGGGAACCCTGACAAACCTACCAGGCCTGACCAAGTCATTCATTCAACCAGCGTAGGTCCGAGACTCAGCCCTGGCCCCGATTCAAGTCATCTAGGACCCTCTTGGGAAAGCCCAACCCTTTTCTCCATCTGTTCAATGGGGATGGGAGGCTTGCTCTGAACTTCCATTCTCTGATTTCAAACTCACTCCTTGATTGGACTTCAGGCTGATCTTAATAACAAATATTTGATAAATAGCTGCAGAGTGTCTACCAAGTGCCTAGTTTGGTAGGAGTAGGAATAGCTATAAAAGTAGCTCACATTTAGTGAGTGCTTACTACACGTCAGACACTTTTCTATGTGCTTTATACATACGATTGCTGGCCGGGCATGGTGGCTCACACCTGTAATCCCAGCACTTTGGGACGCCGAGGCGGGTGGATCACTTGAGGTCAGGAATTCGAGGCCAGCCTGGCCAACATGGCAAAAACTCCATCTCTACTAAAAACACAAAAATTAGCCGGGTGTGATGGTTCATGCCTGTAGCCCCAGCTACTCGGGAGGCTGAGGCACAAGAATCGCTTGAACCCGGGAGGCGGAGGTTGCAGTGAGCTGAGATCGCGTCACTGCACTCTAGCCTGGGCAACAGAGTGAGACTCAGTCTCAAAAAACAAACAAACAAAAAAACAAATACATACGATTGCTTTTAGCCCTTGTAAGAATTCTGCAAGGTAGGTTGGTTACTTCTGTTTTACACATGGGGAAACAGGCACAGGGCAGTTACTAAGTTGCTCAGAGTCACACTGGGAGAGTTGGCATTTGAACCCAGGCCCCATGACTCCAGTACCAGGTCCCTCTCCGCCATGCCAGTTATTCCCCAGGTGGGGTTCTGGGGGAGGTATGGTGGGAGGTGTAAGGTTCCAGAGGCTGCAGGATGATGGGGTTCAGGGGATAAAGGGACAGGCCCTCCAGGGTACCAACTGGGCATCATCTTTATCCCTTCTTTCTCCCTCACTCCACACCCCACCAGCCACCACAATTTCTAAATGTCCAAAGGAGAGAGAATTGAGCCTGAAATCTTAGCTTGTCTCCTGTCCTTTGGTGTCCTGGCCTTGGTCTCTGCTCTTTCTGCCCTGTTGGAATGATCCACCCAAAACACAAATTGGGACATGTCCCTTCCCAGCTTCACACCTTCCATGCTTTCTGTTGTCCCTGGGCTACAAGGTCTGAGCTCCTCATCAGGTGCAGAAAACCACCCTTTGGGATTTGAGCCCCACTGAATTTTCTGGATGAGGTTTCTATTCTTATGCACAGGCTGCAACGAACACTCTTGAATCTAAATCCTTGCACACAAGTGTGCTTCTATCCAGAGAACACATTCTGAAAGGAGAAACTGTTGAATATAAGACACGTGTTTACATTTTGCAGCCACTGCTAAGTTGCCCGACCAAAAAGTGGCCCCAAGGGTATATTAGAAGTACCTGTTTCCCCAGCCCTTTGCCCCACTGTGCAATCCCAACATGCTCTCTTACACACACACACTATCACACATTCACACACCCTCATACGCTCACACACACACCCTCATAGACACACACATTAACACACACACACCCTCATATGCTCACACACACCCCCATAGACACACACACTATCTCACACACATACCCTCATACACTCACATACACCCCCATAGACACACACACACACACCTTCATACAGACACACCCTCATACACCCTCATAGACACACACACAGACACACACCCTCATACACTCACACCTTCATAGACACATGCACTGTCACACTCACACTCATACACTCACACATGCAGACACACATGCACTGTCACACTCCACACTATACACTCACACACCCTCATAGACACACACATACACAGACACCCTCAGACATGCACATTCATGTACAGACACACCCTTGTTAGACACACACTCTGTGACACACCTCACACACACACACCTCATATATGTTGTACACACCCTCATACAGACACATACACTCACACTCACACAGACAAACCCTCACACATGCACATTCACACACCCATACACTCACATACATATACATTCACACATACCCTCACACATACAGACACACTCACATACTCATACACTCACACACATACATATACACACCCTCTCACATATACACATGCTACACTCACATTCACATGCCTACACACACATATGCTGTCACACACCCCTCACACATACACACTATCACACACACTCATACACTCACACACATGCTGACAGACACGTGTCCGCTGACACGCATACCCTCACACATACAGCCACACTATCACACACAGACACTCTCATACACTCACACATACAGCCACACTATCACACACAGACACTCTCATACACTCACACATACAGCCACACTATCACACACAGACACTCTCATACACTCACACATACAGCCACACTATCACACACAGACACTCTCATACACTCACACAGGCACATACACACACAGTCACAGACATACTCTCATACACACAGACACATACACACACCCTTACATATACAACACACACACATACACCACCTCATGCATCACCTTGCACTGTCACACACTCTCTGAACACACACATGCACACGCCTCTCCACACATTTAAATATTTTGTTTTCAATCAGGCTGTGACATCTAAATGAGAATGAGGAAGAAACCTGGGCTAGATGGCACATCATAAACACACACAGTCACACACACACACACTTCCCACCACTCCACAACCCTCCCTTCTCCACAGAGAGGAGCTTTGCTCAGCTGGCGAAGCTTTTTGACATACAGCCACACTATCACACACAGACACTCTCATACACTCACACAGGCACATACACACACAGTCACAGACATACTCTCATACACACAGACACATACACACACACCCTTACATATACAGACACACACACATACACCACCTCATGCATACGCACTGTCACACACTCTCACAGACACACACATGCACACACGCACTCTCACACATTTAAATATTTTGTTTTCAATCAGGCTGTGACATCTAAATGAGAATGAGGAAGAAACCTGGGCTAGATGGCACACATCCATAAACACACACAGTCACACACACGCACACACACTCACAACCCTCCCTTCTCCACACGAGCTTTGCTCCAGCTGACGAGCTTTTGTCACCACGGGGTTCTCCTGGGAGCTGCAGGGGTGGCGTTGAATGAGGCCTGTTGGCAGCTCCTCCCTGTGGCTGAAGCTCTGCCTGGTGTTGTCTGCATTGTCGCCAAGTGCCCTGTTTTGTGGAGTCTCTGGGCACTGCTTACTCGGCCCTGCCCCGCTGTACTGTGAGGGGCTGCTGGGCCATTGTTCAGCCTGCCTTCTGGCCAAGAAAAGCCAATGGGGCGCCCCAGGCCTCCTGCCCCACCTGCTGAGGAGCCGACCGAGGAGAGTGAGTGCAGTGGGCCCTGCACTGGGGTCTGGGGAGAGCATCTGCCATGTCCCTGGAACCTTTGAGGCAGAAGGCAGATGAGGCTGCTCCTCAGGGCCCTGGGCAGGTGCTAGCTCTGGAGAACACTTGTGGGGAGTGTGGGGAGACGCCTTCCCTGCTTTGGGTGAGGGCTGAGACCCCGGGCCTCTGTGGATGTGGACGAGGTCCCCATTCTGGCACACACACACACACACACACACACTCATACAGAGGAGTTGGGTGTGTGACTGGTAAACACATCCCGTGACACTCTAGTCACAGGCTCCCGAGAGACATCATCCCCACGTAGCAGCCGCGGCTCACTGAGTGCCCACGCATTATCCCACTGGATTCTTACAACAGCCCTCTCAGTCGGATCATGGTTCCATTTTCAGACGAGGAAACTGAGATTCAGACAGGTTAAGTAACTTGCCCAAAGTCACACAGCCACGAAGTGCCCCATTTTTCTGACTCTTAACTGGGATGTGTGTTTCCAGATCCACAGGGATGCCCTTGGCTCCTCCTAGAACTGAATGATGGAGCTTAAGGCTGCGCGGTTGATGTTTGTAGGAAACTCAGGTGCACTCAGGACAGCGAACCTGTCTCCCCAGGCTGAAGATCGCAGGGAACCTGTGAGGACAGTCACCAGCATGACATGGGAGCACCGCAGGGGAGTCAGCAAAGCAGGGTGCATCTGACTGTCAGTGCATCTCGTTGAACGACACACCCCTTGTCACAGCATACCTTCTAGGCACAGGCTTATTTTCTACCCCTAACCCTGGGGCCACAGGCCTGGACTCCTGAATGCAAGCCCCTCAGCCACCCATCACCATCCCATTCAGTCTGTGTCATCATCTGCAAAACAGGGCCAGTCCCCTCTGCTTTTGTTTCCAGGAGCTCCCATGACAAAGTGTCGCAAGCTGGGTGGTTTAGAACAACAGAAGCGTGTGGGCTCATACTTCTGGGGGCTAGAATTCCACAGTCAAGGTGCTGGCAGTGCCAGGCTCCCTCCAAACCCTGCAGAGGAAGGAGCCTTCCTTGCCTCTGGCAGCTTCTGGTGGCTCCAATGTGCCTCAGCTTGTGGCAGCATCACCCAGCCGCGGCTTCTGCCCTCCCATGGTGTCCCCGCTGTGTGCCTTCCCGTCATCTTCCTGATACGCACGCCAGTGTCTGGCACCGATTTTCCCCTTTCAGAGGGACACAGTCTTATTGGGTTAGGGCCCACCCTACCAACCACATTTTAACTTGATTCTCTCTGTCAAGACCCTGTTTCCAAATAAAGCCCCATTCAGAGGTATTGAGGCTTAGGCATTCACACGATTTTCATATGTTTTTAGCAGGAGAGTTCGACCCATAACACTCTCTTGCGAGGTTATCATGAGGATTGAACGTGGTAACACGTGTAAAGCTCTGAGCGTGGTGCTTGGCTGGCACTTCATTCCATAAATTGGTTTTGAAAGAAAAAGGTTGCCTGGGCATGGTAGCTCACGCCTGTAATCCCAGCACATTAGGAAGCGGAGGTGGAAGCATCATTCGAAGTCAGCAGTTTGAGACCAGCCTGGGTAACATAGTGAGACCCCTGTCTCTACAAAAAAAAGAAAAAGAAAAGCCTGGGTGTGGTGGCGCATACCTGTGATTCTTAGCTCCATCCAGAGGCTGAGGCTGGAGGATCGCTTAAGCCTAGGAGGTCAAGGCTGCAGTGAGCTATGATCACACCACTGCACACCAGCTTGGGTGACAGAGTAAGACCCAGTCTCAGAAAAGAAAAGAAAAAAAGAAAAAAGTTGAGCACCTGGAAATTAGATGCTCCATGTACACTGTGTGCCAGGCCCCATATAAGTGCTTGATATGTATTATCCCTCGAAATCCTCACAACCACCCCTCAAATCAGGCAAGTTTTTCATTTAAATGATGCAGAAGCTGTGACTCAGAGAGGTTAAGGCATTTGCCTGAAGTCACACAGCCTAAGTAGCAGAGCTGAGGATCAGCCCCAAGCCTATGAGGCTCCACTTCATCACACTACACAGGACCACGCTGTAGTGGGGAGTGGGGGCTGCTTGGAGGGGCAGAAAGGCAGGGAGGAAATGCTGAGCTCACAACATGCAGGCCCTGGGGGACTTTCTGGGTCTGAGGGGCCTAGGACGAGTCTCTGCAATAGTGAGAGGCCTAGCTGATGGCAGGCTGCCTGGGGAGGTGCTGGCGAGCTGCCAGGGTGCAGGGCCAACAGGTCTGAGCCACTCCACTGTGATCTAACCGGCCTGGCCGATACTCCGGTGGGGGACTGGGACAGGGCTCAGCCGGAGATGAGGAATGTTGCCCTGAGCGCGGGTATACTCGCTTCTCCAGGGTTCATTCTGAGTACACGCGGCGGCTCTCCAGGAAGCAAAGAGGGCACTTCCTTATGGAGGCTTGAAAGTGCGGCCATACAAGATTCAGGCCACTCTCTCTTCCTTCTTGCTTTCTTCTGAAGGGTTCCTTGCACCTAAGGAAGGTGACAATGAGCTAGATTTTCAGTTCTGGACTAGAAGTTCATTTACCCAGGACTAACTTGTTTACTCAAGCATTTATTCATTCATTTACTCTTCCACCCATTCACCTAATGGCTCAGTGATTCATTCATTCACTCATGCTCTCACATATTTATGCCCACAGCCATTCACTCTTCCACCTGCCCATCCACCCATTCATCCATCCATCCAAGCATCCATCAATCCATCCATCCATCCGTCCATCCAACCATCCATCCATCCAACCATCCACCCACCCACCCATCCAGCCAACCACCATCCTCTCATTCAATTGCCTTCCTCTCATCTCCCATTTTCCCAACCAACCTCTCATTCTTTCTTCCATCTATCCATCCATCCATCTATCTATCCATCCACCCAACCTTTATTAAGCACCTACCATGTTTCCCACACAAAACTCCCTATGGCTGCCAAAGTAGTTCTGCACCCACTTCCACTGATAATTCACGTACATATTGGGCCCCAGCTCCTTGGCCTCCTGGTGGCGTGGTTCCCTTGTCTCCTCCTCAGGAGGAGGCTCAGGAGAGTGGATAGGTGGTCTTCTGCACAGCCCTAGTCCGAAGGTTCCAGCCAGTGACAGCTGCCTGAGATGTGGGGTTTTTCAGGGCCCTTTGTGCTGTGAGGCCTTTCCTCTCTTTAACGCCAGAACCATGCATGCTCCTGGGCTCTGTGGCTCCAGTGGGGTCCTGTTTTCAGTTTCTTGGGGCCCATTTCTTGCCTCCTTCAGGCCAGAGCAGAGCTTCAGACTGTGGGGACCCATAGACTTGGGGGCCCTCCTTGAGGAGGACTCCGGGGCCTCTCTTCTTCGAGTATAGGCAAATATGCTGCCTGGGAAGACTCACTGACACCTGGAGCCTTAGAGGAGGGCAGGGCGGGCCCGGGCAATCTGGGGAAGTCCATGGCATTCCGTCCTGGCCAGAGGGCAAGAGAAGGGGCTCATGGTCCAAAATGGATGCCGGGAATAGGACCCCGCCAGGGAAGCTGGCAGGAGCGCTTCTCATACATCCCCCAAATGCCCTACTGCTACACCTTGGCTTGTGTCCTTGTCGGCACCTGGAAACCCCTTCCCCCTCCCCACCCTTACACTCAGCCTCTGCTCTCCTCTCAGCTGAGTCCACACACTCCTGCTCTTAGATTTCAGACATTCTGGTCGCTGCCCCCAGGGCTCCTACAGAGCTCCATAAAGATTTGCTGAATGAATGAATTCAAGTTCTCATTTTAAAGATGAGGGGGTTAAATTCCCCGGGTTTCCCCCTTCCCCAGCCTTTTCCCAGCTAGTTCCTTCTCCTTTACATCCCAGCCAAAAGGCCAATCCCAGGAGGCTCTCTGGATGCCCCCTCACTTTGCCACTCCCATTTCCTGCTCCCTTCCTATCCTCCCGCCCTCATGCCCAGGTCCTGCTCTCTTTACACCCTGACACCTTCCTGTTTGCTTGTTTCCTGTCTCCTGGCAAATGTCACCATCCCCGTTTCACAGAGGAGGAAACCGTGGCTCAGAGAAGTCCCAGAGGGAGTAGCCCAGCCAGATAAAAACCCCTGGGTCGTGAGCACTTTCTTCCACCCATATTAGCCAGGTGCTTTATTCACGTGGTTTTACTCTGAAATCAGGATGGCTGTAGGTAATAATAGCAGCCATGCAAGTCTTGTTTCATGACAGTTTTTGAAAGGCACCGTTTCCACTTCGCTGTTCCCGTGCAGGTGGGCAGGACTCAGGGGCATGTGTGTGCCCCCGCGTGCCTGCCTGTAGGTGGCCCCGGCCAAGCCAGCCCCGCCCCAGGAGGAGGCTGGACTTTCATCCTGCGTGAGGGTGTGTGGGAACTGGGTGTGCCACGGGGCCTGCCTCACTCCTCCCTCTCACATTGCCAACCGAGTCAGCCTCACTGCGGCAGCACCACGTCGGACCGGGATCCTCGAGGTGCCAGCCCATGGCCGAGCCTGCCCTCCTCCCTGCCGCCCAGATGGAGAGGCTGGCCGCAGCGCCCCTCGCCTCACCATGTCCTCGGATCCCGCGGGCCCGCGTTGCTAAGCGCTGCGCCCAGCGCTGGGCCGACCTGGGCTGCAGGTACAGGGGTCAAGGAGTGGGAGGGAAGCTGGCCCTACTATGTGCCAGGGGCATGTGCTGTCTGTCTTGACAACATCTGTCTTGACTACGTCCCTGTGAAGCAGGAATCTTCCTCCTCGTACAGATGAGGAAACAGAGGCTTGGAGAGCCCAGCGACCTGCCCACAGTCACCTGGCTGTCAGGTGGTGGAGATGGCTTCTAGCCCTGGTCCATGGGACTCCAAACCCAGACCCTTCCTGGGACACAGCATTGCCCTGGGTTCATGCTGCTGGCCTCCTACAGGGGTCACTGATTTTCAGATTCTTGGAGACCATGAGTGACACCAATGTGTGCCATTTCCTTTTCCTCTGGATGTAGAGAGTATTGGGGGCCCAGGGGCTCAAGATTCAGGAGTCTCTGGGTCAAGATTCTGGGTTATTGTGGCCGTGTGGTCACTTTGACTGAGAACTGGTCACCCCTTATTCCTGCTCAGCCTGCCGCTGACAGCCAGACTAGAATTTTCTAATAGTCATATCCCCCACTCTGATTACATCATATCACAATTTGATTATTATAGAAAGTCAAACAGTACAAGAATACGTATGTTTATTCTCGAAAACTTGCTACTGTTAAAGTTTTGACGTATACCTTGGAAGAACTTTTTGACATATATAAACCTAAACTTGTATAGTTTTACACATATAGGCTCTTGTGATACACGTGCTTGTAAGGTTTTCCCCCCGCAACCCCTCAATTAATGTTATGGACATCTCTACATGTCAGTAACATAAAGATATAGTTCATTCACTTTAATGGCCTGCCAGGATCCAACTTTATGGATATCTTTGGTTAATTTGAATCAGTTCCTGGCTAATGGACATTTAGTTTGGTTCCAATTTTTAACAATTCTAAGCAATACAGCAATGAACATCTCTGGGGACTTGCATGGGTAAAATTCACGTCCTAGACTTGTAGTTGCAAGTTTAAAAGGAATGTTCAAATCTTAGTAGACCCTGCCAAATTGCCGTCCAAAAGTGTTCTAGCTTGGAACACACCTGCAGCAGGAGACCCCCACTGTCCCATTCATTTGCCGCCCAAGGACCTGAAGATGAGACTTGGTCTATATTCAGACAGCAGATTCAGGGGTAGGTGATCCTGATCATAGGACAACTGAGTCCTAGAATTCTCTTAAGGGAACAACTACTAGGCTCAGGAAAGGGAGGAGGAGCTCAGTGAGACCATTTCATCCATATGGCATGTTTGTTGAACTCCTATGTGCGTGGTGCCTGCCCCACCCCAGGCAAAAATGACTCGGGATAGGATTTTAATGAGAATCAATTTTAAGAAGCCAAAGACAAATTTGTTATCTATCTATCTATCTATCTATCTATCTATCTATCTATCCATCCTATATCTAATCTATCCATCTATTCATCTATCTATATGTTTCCTATTGCTGCTGTAACAAATCACATAAGCCTATGTATCATCTCTCTCTGTCTCTCTCTCTCTCTCTCATTTATATTGTTTTTCTATTACTGCTATAACATATCACATAAACGTAGTAGCTTAAAAAGACACAAATGTGTTATCTGACAGTTCTGAGTGCTGGAAATCCCCAAATCAGTGGTCTGTAGGGGTGCATTCTGTCTGGAGGCTCTGGGAATCTGTTTCCTTGCCTTTTCCAGCTTCTGCCGCTGCCCACATTCCTTGGCTGATGGTCCTCTTCCGTCTTCAAAGGCAGCTCTGTAACACGTTCATGTCTCTCTGACTCTGACCTCCACCATCATCACCATGTCTCCTTCTCTGACTCTCCTGCCTCCCTCTTTCACTGATAAGGATCCTTGTGATGACACTGGGCCCACTGGCTAATCCAGGATCATCCCACCATCTCAAGGTCCTTAGCTTAATCACATCTGCAGAGTCCCTTTGCCTGATAACATATATTCACAAATTCTGAGGATTAGGATGTGGACATCTTGGGGAGCTGTTACTCATCTGATCACATCATCTATCCAACCATCCGTCGTCCATCCATCTATCCATCTACTTATCTACCTACCTATCTATTATGGCTGTTCCCCTGACTCCACCAGCACCCTACCTTAACCTCCTGGTTCCTTGTGATATTTGAGGCTATTAATATTGAATTCACTATAAGAACTCCTGACCCACTGAATGTGCTTAATAGCTACAGGTTGAATGAACAAATGAATAATACTTAAGAGAGTTTAAAATTTGAACCATTCGTTCTCTTTATTGTTGAGAACAAAACAAAAAAGCAACATGTTTATTTCCAGAACAGTGGTTTTTGTTGTTGTTGTTTTTTGTTTTTTTTTTTTTAATGCAGTCTCACTCTGTTGCCCAGGTTGGAGTGTAATGGCACGATCTTGGCTCACTGCAACCTCTGCCTCCCGGGTTCAAGTGATTCTTCTGCCTCAGCCTCTTGAGTAGCTGGGATTACAGGCGTGCACCACCACGCCCGGCTAAGTTTTGTATTTTCAGTAGAGATGGGGTTTCACCATGTTTGTCAGACTGGTCTCGAACTCCTGACCTCGTGATCTGCCCGCCGTGGCCTCCCAAAGTGCTGGGATTACAAGCGTGAGCCACCACTCCTGGCCCAGAACAGTGGTCTTTAAACCAGGATTCTGCAAACATTTTATTTGAATTGAATCTTTATTATATCTTTCAAGTATTAAACATCTAGTAAAAATACTACCTCCACTCAGGCGTCCCAAATGTTTTTTGTCAGCAAAAATTATCTTGATTGTATGATCAGTAAATGCTTTGAATTAAACTTATAAAATCAGCTTATAATAATATACTGTTACCTATTTTGTTTTTTGAGAAGAGATTCCACTGCCAAGGGAAAAAAAAAAACTGGAACAGGGTTGGCCTGTTTGCTCCAGGCCAATGTTCTTGTGTATTGGCTCACAGGGTCACTAGGTCAGCTCCCCCAATCCTTTGAGTCTGTTCATCTCACCGGTCACTTGCTTGTGAGTCATTTAGTTATTCAACAAATTCCAGCAGCACTGCAACCTTCAGGATGTAAGCCCCAGTCTGATCTATTTACCCACGGCTCCCCAGCACTGGCACAGGGCTGGCTTATTGTAGGTGCTCGTGAAATATTTTCCTGATGAATGAAATGCTCACTGCCTCTACAGGAAGTCCCGTGATGGACATGAGGGTGTGGGCATGAATAAGATGCTCTCTCTGCCCTTAAGATGTCCACGGCCTGGTCCAGGAGGAAGATATAACATTGGTCACTACCACATAATACACTAAATGCTGACCAGAAAGGCCTGAGCAGGGATGAATAGAGTCAGTGTTGCCATCAAACAGAACGTTCCATAATGTGAGGGCGACACAGAATTCACTGTCTATGTGGCTTAATCTTAAAACCTTGCAATATTGACCTTGGGAGGTGCCTCAAAGACCAAGTTGGAGTGAGGTGACTCTCTTGGGATTCCCCTTATCCTTGCTCCCAGTAGAAATATATTTTCTGTTAATTCATGATTGGTATAAAAATACAAAAAAAATATAGCAAGTGAAATCCACCTGCCCCTCCCACCTCCAGCCCACAAGAACAGCAATTGTGAGAGGTTGTGTACATCCTATAGAATTTTGTGCTTCATAAATATTTACATACATGTATATGTAAAATGTAGCTATGATCCAATCCATTTACATAATTGTACTTACATGCGTGAATTGGTTTATATTATGTATACTATTTTATAAACGACATTTCCATCTTTATAATATCTTTTCCTGGAAAGACATAGAAATCAACATTATTATTTTTTTTTCTTTTGGAGACAGAGTCTTGCTCTGCTGACCAGGCTGAGGCTGGAATGCAGTGGTGGAATCACTGCAGCCTCAACCTCTCAGGCTCAAGTGATCCTGGGACCACAGGCATGCCCCACCACACCTAGCTATTTTTTTAATTTTTGTAGAGACAGGGTCTCCCTATGTTGCTCAGACTGGTCTCAAACTCCTGGACTCAAGCAATCCTCCTGCCTCTGCCTCCCAAGTAGGTGGGACTGCAGGCCTGTGCCACCATACCTGCCCTTACATTATCCTCTTTAAAGACTGTGTGATGTTTCATTTTATGACTGGACAGTACTTTTGTTAACTAGCCTCCTGTTGATGGAATTTTAGTTTGCTTCTTTTTCTCTTTTGGTTGCTGTTATAAACTATACCGCAACGTTCTTGGACATGTATCTTTGTGTACTTATCCTTATGATACATTTTCAGAATAGGAATGATTGAGTCCAAAGGTGTACACATTTAAAATGCTGAAACATATTCTGGGTGGTTTTCCAGGAAGGTTGTACCCAAGTAGACTCACCAAGTGGGTGTGAGCTTGTTTCCTAATGTACATGACATTCTTTTTTTTTTTTTTTTTTTTTTGTACTTAGCTATTTAATGAGGTTCTTAAGACATTTAGAACACCAATTTGTGAGGATAAATTCCATTCATCAGGGCAAACACAGATCGCAGGTAGCCCTGGAGCTGAGGAACAGCTTTGATTTTTGGTAGAATTTGTGAGTCCACAGCTTTCTGATCAATCTTGCGCTGCTCTGTAATCTCGTATTTCTCTTTTTCTGTGTCAAAGATCTCACCTTCCTGATGTCTGGGCTTCCGCAGCTTCTTCTTTTTGAAGTAAGCATCAGTAAGATGTTTTGGGATTTTGACATTGCTGATATCGATTTTGGTTGAGGTGGCAATGACAAATTTCTGGTGTGTTCTTCGTAGAGGAACTCCATTGAGGACCAGAGGTCCAGTCACAAGTAACAAGCCACTAGCCAGCTGCTTCAGGAAAACCACCCTCTTGCCCCTGTGGCGTCCAGTGAGGATGATCAGAACGGTCCCGGGGGGAATGCTGGCTCGCAGTTTTCTCACGTACTGACTGAAGGGTTTGTTGCCGTGGCTCAACAGCTTTCGAGGCACATCTTCAGTAGGATAATATCTAGGCATTTTGTGAAGTTTAACCACCTGGGTACCGCCGTTCTTGTCAC